GCATTTCCGAAACAGATAAAAATGAATCAGTCTGTGAACTGGCATGACATGGCCAATTCATTTGCAACCATAATTCACGCATGTGCTGCTAAGGTGTTTCAAAATGATTGTTGGTATTTCGGCGTGGAAAATTACAAGGAGTGCTGGAGTGGAGTGAACGGTAGCATGACATACAACAGACATGGACGATCCAACAAATGTTTCATGAATTATAGCGTGGGAGCTGAATGGACCATATCTGTTTACCGCTTTGTTGAAGGTTAGTTATGAGTTGATCACTTTACAGGGAATTCAGCCTCCTAACACCTGGCAAGTCTAAGAGTCTGGGCGCTAGTGCCGTGATGTAGTAGAATGGTTCCCAGACTTATGCACATGAAAGTAAAAACAAATCACTCATCGCTTTTTGTTAATAAGGATTTAGTTATGCATAAGTAAGCAAGCGGTTTGGTTAAAAACATATAATTGTAAAGTATCTACAAATTTTCAACGCAAAACTATATTCTTTTCAAAATCTCAGGTTTATTAATCTTAAAGTATTCTTAACATTTCGCAAATTTAAGCCTCGATATTCTTATAAAACATATTCTCATAAAAAAGTAAAGAGTGTAGAATAGTTTCCAGGCTCTTGCACATGAAAGTTAAAAAACACTTCAGCTGAACATCTATTAAGCGGCCAGTTATCAATGTTCCGAAATTATTGTCAGTAAAATACTGTAAAGTCGTGATACATAAATTACCTTTGTTTTGGAAAAGGCAATGTCAGATAAGAGTCTGAAATAGAAAGTGATTGTCTTGAAGTGGCATCATGTTAACTCAGAAATTAACCCGATGGTGAAGAATATTCAAGGTACACCAACCTCTATGCTGCGGCCGGCCAACCCCTATTCTTGGGTTTCACCCACGTGACCAATAGCTTAACAACGGTTACTCTCCGCCATCTTGGTGTCGATCCCTCAAGCGCAAACAAAGCGTATCCAAAGAAGAGTTCATGTGAGAAAGAAGGGATGGTTTTACGCGTTGTTGTTGGCTGTTCGAGCAAAAATGGGAAATCGTAAAGGTTAAGGGTTTTTTCGTATACCTAAGATTATTACAAATCAAAGGGAAGAACTGGAGGATCTCACTATTAGGAGGACAAACGAGTGGATTTCTGTGGTGAGTCGCAGCGACGCTACAAACAAGAGAGTGCTAGAGAGTGAACCAGTTTGTAGCAAACACTTCGCTCTGAAACTACCGGAACAGAGCGGCTTTGGTCGATAAATTGGTC